TCATTTTTTTCCCGTGATTATAGCTATATAAATAAAAGTTATATTGAAATCGGATGAGTAGTTTTTGTGTGTAACAAGACAAGAGACGTAACCTCTCATCAGTCAATGTATTCACGGTGCGTGTGTCGGGTCCATCGTTGTAGTGAGAGGAGCTTCAACGGTGACTGGGACTTGTGACCCAGGTGTAGGTTTAAGGGATACCTATAAACATTGAAAGTTAAAAAAGACATACATAAAGAATTGATGTATAGTTTTTTTCAAAAATATCATAAGTAGAATGACATCCAAATCTTTAGCCAGCGATCCATTTCTATGTTTATTTAATTCTAAAGGTGTATCTACATGAATGTAGTCGTTTAAACGTGCAGTATGTAAGTTAAGTTTAAATTTTTAAGGATAACAGCCAGCCTCTTTATCCTGCAATGCGGCGTATTTTTGACATTTATCATAGCGACCGAACTGCTGTACTAAATAGGCTTTTTGGAACACACCCAGGTCACCTTACCAAGAGAGTAGACTTGAATAAAAATATTATATATACAGCGTGTTCTTATATTTAATTAATTATTTTATATGCTGTTTCGCTGAAATTATTCTCCTTAAAAATGTAAAATAATAATTATATTGAACACCCTGTATTATTTAACTGTTCTCAAATGTATAGTTATTTTTTTATTAAGTACTAGCTTTCCGCCCGCAGCTTCGCCCGCGTGGAGTTCGGTTATATCGCGTTTCCAAGAGAACCTTTCAAAAATCTGGGATAAAAACTATCCTATGTTCTTTCCCAAGGTCAACTCTATCTCTGTACCAAATTTCATTAAAATCAGTTCAGTGGTTTAGGCGTGAAAGCGTAACAGACAGACAGACAGACAGACAGACAGACAGACAGACAGAGTTACTTTCGCATTTATAATATTAGTAGGGATTAAGATTGTTGTGTCTATTGTTACCTGGTTACAAATGGATTGCTATACTTTGTACGTCAATACGTCGTGGTTATATTTATAGTTTAGTATTCGTTCATTAATAACTTTATATTAACAGTTAACTAATATATATATGATTTTTGTTCAATGTTTCTTATATAATCATCGTTAATTAGTCTTTTAATTGATAATTTTATTTAAAGAACTTATCGATGTTTAATTACTTTGTATATTAAATATATCTATAGTGTTAGATATTGTGTATTAATTCAAGGTGAGTCATGTGTTTTTTACTAATTTTTTATACGATGTGAAGTTAAAAATTTGTAGGGGCGTATCACCCCATGTAATACGCACACGTTTTCTTAAGCTCGATGCGGGTGTCGCTGCGGGCTTGTATATGGTTATAAATGATAAAAAAATAACTTTTTTAGTATATTATAACATACTATGGATATTGAAATTGGACGAACATTTGTTAGTGAATATTTTTGAAGACGTCATATATATAAGGCGCGAAGTAATCCCAGCGTTCAAATATAAAGAGAAATTTTTAAAGATTAATAAAATTCTTAGCGAAAAAGCGGCAAACTTTTGTTTTTTTTTTCTCGCAGCTTTCTTGTTAAGCCGGGCATTTTTCCGTCTCTCAGATAATGCAAAAAGAATTTAATAAAGGCATTGTTATTGTAAACACTTCGCTTTTAATAACAGACGGCGAAATAATAAAAAAAAAACAACTGTCAGATTGACGTTTGTCATACGCCTGTCAGATATATTGGAGGTCCAATGTCAAGTTGTGTGTAAATTAAACCCAATAAGCAGCTTTAAAGCGGCTTGACCGCTTGACATAAATCGCACTGTGTAAACTTAAAAAGCTGTAAAGCCCAATTTGCTAAACGAAATCACGTCTAAAGTATATTTCACCCTTTTGACGACACATTAGGTACATTTGCAGCGCGTAACGACACGGGCACCGCTCACAATTTCCATTAGTCGCGCCGAAACAGGAACGGCTGAAATTTATTTATTATAACACACGGTTCTAGGCTTTAATCCTACGTGTTATGTGCTATATTCGTGTGAGGGTGTAACTGATTTGTGTTGATACAATAGTCCCGCGCCGCGCCCCGTGAAACACATATCGTATTAGCAAAGAACGGTATCTTACTGCAATTAGCCTCAGCCTTTAGGAGTGGTATGCGAGTACCTACAATATGGCGACAGTAAGTTACAGAATTTTTTTTTTTATATAAATAAGCATAAATTTATACCTATTATATATCTGAATTTAATTAGATTTTTCAAAGATAAACATCACATATTATAGTGAGCATTTACTTACCTTACTAAATGTCAAACTGACAGGTGATTAATAAGTTGATGTATAATCTGTGAAAATAAATTATAGAACAAAACGGAATGCTCTGTGTTGCCAGAAATAGGAAGAAATTAATGCTGTTTATGGTAGGAGTTTGTGTGAGGGTGATAATTATTTATTAAAATTGTTGGCATACTGGCACAGAACGAGGCACGTTAGCTACATGTTATTAGCTACTGTGAAATTCACTCTACGACCTACACAGACTACACATATGATATTTCACTGGAATATATTCTACTTTTATCTATATAATATCTTTTTGTTATATTTATTTTAAAAAAACATTATTTTATACTTAGTTGAATATTTAATATAGTTAAAATGAAATTTAAAACGATCTTTTAAACGGAATTTTACTTACGATTTTGTTCTAGTAATTTGTATACTCGTAGTTATAATTTTTTTTATATTTTTATATTATTCAATATTCTGGTGTTAGTATCCGAATTTATTGAAAACCAATAAAAAATATTCGTATTTATTTCTGTTATCTATACAGTAATTGTTAAGTTAATAACAATGAATTCTTCCATAATATTTAAAACGCCCGATGTCATTATGACAGTTTATTTATTTATCACCATTCAATACTGAAGTAATATTTTGTATAAATTCTAAAGTAAAGTTTTCCATGACACCCGTCGTCAATATTAAACAAGTCATTTCATCTGTATTTACCTGATAATATAGTTATTGCCTGTTACAATTTAAAAGTAATTTCTACATTTGTTTTTAAGTTAATACCTTTGTTTTTTGTTCAAGTTATTTCGTTGTCATGGTAACGAATAATCTCACTCTCGTTTAGAAAATATTTCGTCAAGTTTATTAACACGTCCGCATGTCTCGAGCCTGGAGGCAGCTCTAATATTTAATATGTATATATTAATATTATTTTATTTACAAATGTAATAATAATGGTGTTAAATTGCTCGTGTTACAGAGAGTATAAAACTTTGTTTTAATGTATTTATTATATAGACATTTCTGTATTTTTTTGTTATTATCTGGTATTTATTAATTGCGAATCACGTGTTCGGTTAAAAGCTTTCTAATTATATTAGATATAATTTTAGAAAATATTAACGATTTTCTCGCTTCTGCCGGCCATTTTTTACCGTTAAATTGTTCTTCATATTTTGTTTCTTTGTAACTTGCGTGATTATATTAATGTTTGAAAACGAACAAAGTCAGGTAAATTATATAGCAATGGACACATTTAATATAAGTCGTTACATTTAGTAAAGTTCTCACCGTGATAACTCCGATCTAATCTCTTAAAGTTAGAAAGATTTAAAGTACCAAATAACAGAATGAAAAATACGAAAATCACACGAGTGTTTTAATCTGTTTAAGTGGGGGGTGTTCCGTCAGGGCTGTGCTAAGGTTTACATTCATCGGTCACTAGTTCCGTTCAGTATTTATAGCTTTATTTACATGCTAGCTTCGTTTTGATAACCCTATATTAGTGATTAGAATGAGATAGATGTATTATATATGTATGTGATAGAGTGGGATGGTAATATTTTAGTTTTTTTTTAATGGATTATCTTAGGTGTATTGAGATCTGATTCTATAAGTGACATGATACAATAATGATTATTTTAACTTATTGATGCTTTAATGAAAGTAATTTTTTTTTGTCATTTAATGGTCCTCGGCTGAATAATACTATGCCTTGGTGTATCGTATGTTTTTTTATCTGTGCCAATAATTTGTTTGACTGAACTTTATCTGTACGATCAGAGTATATGTAATTAAATAAAGTTTCAGCATCGCTCATAACAAATTTCAATGGCCGTACAACGTGACTTAGGTGCATTACATTAATTTCCAGCTGAAAGCTCCGGCATTAATTCGCGTCCAGCCCCCGGAGGGAAACCGCAAAATACTTGTTCCGTTGCTATTCATAATAAAAGCGGTGCAGGCCGCTAACTGCTGCAACATCTGAGCACAGAAATAATATTACCGACTAGTGCAGTGACAAAGAGCATTCATACAGTTGCTGTGGACCTGACGCTAATTACTTTATGTGTATGCTATTATAATTACTACTTAGGCTTTCCCTGCCCAAACTTTCGATGGTTTAATTAATTTTGTATGGTCCGACATGATTCGTGTCCAAACTCATCCGTGTTATCGTATTGTATTGAGTTTAATATTTATGTCAAAGAGACGGGTTAATGCGGGTGAATCGTGATAGTTGAAAGGATTTTTCTTTATAAATTGTGTTTTTCTTTCATTAACAAGTCCTAGGGGAAGGCGCTGTAGAGAGTTTCTATTGCAGCGTTGAATGAAAGTGAAGGATTTTATTCATATTTGAATGTGTTATATTGTAGAGCATGGTGTGTGGTGTGTGGTGTGTTAATGTAGTCCCCATAGCCGTTCGATCGATACTGTGTTTGCTTGCTTATGGTCGGCGGCTGCGGACAAGTCGCGTGCCACCTTTAATACAAAAATATCGATTCCTCGACAAAGCCGCGTCACCGCAATCAATATCCCTTTCCGCCTCATGCCTAATTACGCCCACATCACTCAAACATTCATAAAAAGTATCGCGGCCGGCGATCACTCCGGCGCTGGCCCGTAGACTCGTCCTGAAATACGTCCTACACTGTATCGCAGAAAGCGCACAGGAAAACGCTTCATTGTAAACGTTTTATTTAATTTTCCCTCCATTTACTTTTTTATAATTTCTGTCGGGCATAAAAAACGATCCGCCGCCGCAGGAAGCGCGCACACACGCTCGCCCGGCCGTCTCTGGCAGCACACAGACACAGGCGCACCTGTCTCGGGGACCGAAGGTGTGCTCGAGCCCGTGCGACAGGGACGGCGGGATGCGACAGGTGTGGGTGCGAGCGAGAGGGGGCGATGCGCGCGCAGCGTCCCGACACGCCCGCCGCCGGTCGCCAGCAGTGAGCGGCGGACGTGGAGCAGGCAGCAGTCAGTCTACTGTGAGCCGCCGCGCCGCGCACACGGACACGGACACTGACAGCACCGCGACCGCGTCCCTCGAGCGAGATCGGGAGTAGTGCGAGTGAGAGCAGTGTGTGTGTTGTGAAATGTGCTCTTGTTTTATAGGTAAAGGAAATGTTCACTACGAAAGGCTAACCGATGTCCGTTTAGGATTGGACGAAAGTTTTTATTTATTTATTTATTTGTTATTATTATTGTTTCGTAAGTAACGTATGGAGGGTTAATGAGAATCCCGTAGACATCGGCGAAGCTTTTCAATGTTTTGTTTTAAAATACGGGCGCGCAAACTCACGCTACATATTTATGATCTGTTAATTGTTCGCGCGCTACATAGGAATAACATACACGATACATTGCTTGATGTTTTATATTTTTTAAGTACTCTTAGTTTTAACGACACCAGTTAGGAATAATTGCTTCGATAAAACGATAGTCGATTTACCAATTAAAGTGATATCGTTAGTTTTGCATTTAGAAAAGACAACATTAAAATTTAAAACTGAAGAACTGGCTAAGTTAAGCTAACCGCTAATTCTATTTACATACGAATTAAAAGTAAGGAATTGTCTTATCTGTGACGAAACGAATAGAGCTCATTAAAATAAGTAATATAGTCTCATACATGATATAAAACTATGTCAAAAAGAATTTTAAGCAGCGTTTTATCCAAAATTGTTTTTGACCGCCGACATATATATCTACATATATATATATGTTGTTATATATGTAATGTCATATAAAAACAGCCTCAGATGTCATTATCATTAAACTGTATATACTTTAATTGAATTAACGATCCCTAATGAACATCTTGTATGACATTCACATTGGAGTTATATGTATTTGGCACGCATCTTAAGAAAACGTATACAATTAACATGTTAATGAATTTAGACTCTTGTTAAGGTGATATATTAAAGTTTAAATATTATTATTATATAGGAAAATATGTTAAATATGTTTTAATTTTGTTTGTATGAGCAAGTTTGGTAACAAAGTTGGATGTTCAAGAAAAACAAATGGCTATTACAACGAAAATTGTACATTGAATAAAAATTAAAGTTGTGATTATCGAAATACATATGTTAAATATTTTGAAACGGATTATTTAAAAAATAAGTATAATAATTTTATTTTCTTACGTTATACCTCAATCTGAATCATTATTAAGTTTTGTAACGATTTCTATACAAAAATATATGTATAAAGTTAACTCCAGTTAGTAAACTAAATATCTTGAAAATCTTCAGAATCCTATATCTTCTTCCTGGAATTTCCCAGCTTTAGCCAAGGTCTGCCGTCTTCTATGTGTGTGATGATGATTCGTATATAAAATGCGTGAAGGTATTCCGTAACACACGTACAAACAAACTATGCGAACAGAACCCATTGTTATTAACCGATTGTTGGTAATTGAAACACCGAGTATTTACTGAGTAAGATTTCTCATTGTATTCACGTTTGTTAGTTGTTTATAGCCAGTCATTCTCTAATCTTTTCTTTGAGACTTGAGGCTTGTTACTGAATTTTCGTCTTTTAATATACATTCCTATACCTACGGTGAAGGAAAAACATCGTGAGGAAACCTGGACTTAGAGTTTCAGAATTATAAGTTTGAAATCACCAACCCGTCTTGAGCAAGTGTGATGATTAATGCTCAAACCTTCTCCATGTGAGAAAGAGGCCTTTGCTCAGCAGTGGGCGGTTGATAGGCTGATGAAGAATATACATTCCTATATGACACCAGCGTTTTAGAATTTTTTGCATAATACTAAGTCTCATTTTCATTAATGGTAGTACTTGTATATTTAATTTATGCGATATGTTTGTAATATTTTTATTTTTGACATAGTCACGGTCATCTTAAAGTCACTTTTGTCATTGTACCTTTTTAACCAGAACCAACGTCGAGACGTATCTTTTAATATTTAAATTAATTGTTATATATATTTTGACGGTTAAATAGTGTCTTTATCATGATATAAGTTGGCATTTGTTCTTTTCAATTCAGTCTACATGTGATAGTATTGGCGCCGACGAACTTTTACTGTTGTAACATTGGTTTGTAATAAAATTACATTGACAAACTTTGTTGGCTGACCTCTGCTAGACTAGCTATAGGTCATTGATTTACTTACATTACGTTATCCTTACTAATATTATAAATGCAAAAGTAACTGTCTGTCTGTCTGTTACACTGTCACGCCTAAACCACTGAACTGATTTTAATGAAATTTGGTACAGACATAGAGTTGACCTTGAGAAAGAACATAGGATAGTTTTTATCCCAGACTTTTGAAAGGTTCTCTTGGAAACGTGATATGACCGAACTCCACGCGAGCGAAGCTGAGAGCGGAAAGCTAGTTTATACATAAAACAATATTTTAAGTAGTTTTGTGATGTTAATGAGATGAAAATGAATATTTCGCGTAAATACTATAAATGTACCGTTGTTTTTATAACCTAAAGGCTACATAATTCGCGGATTTAACGTAATTAACAAGTACAGTGTGGGTGTGCAGTCTAAGTGAGTAAATAGCTTCAATTCAGGCCACGAAAGCATGGCCGACCTGATTCAACACTTCTCCGCAATTACCTCCAATTTGTACGAACAAACACAATGGGGGATCTCAAAAAATGTACACTCAGAAGTATCCTATGCGCTAATTAACTTTTAATTAGAACATTCTGGAATCTATATAATACGTACGTAGTTTATTGGTACAGGTTGTGTTTTAATCTGCATGTTGTATTTAAAATTCATAGTGTCGCATCGATCTCGTTGATTGAATGTTTTCATATGATTTCATAGTACATCCGAGTTGACCTGTATGTGATAGCGCCACGAACATATCAGCGCTTTCAATCTGTTTGTGAATAAAACGCTATTATATAAAAAATCTGTTTTCATTATAAAGCATTATATATGTATATTGATTTAGTGAGTATATATGAAGCCCTCGTAGAAATTTTGGGTGAAGTTGGAAAACCTTTCGGCCATTCATCTTCAAAATAACTCTTAACAAGCCCCACGAACTATTTCTTTGTACCCGACATCATAGTTTTCAAATTAAACTTTTCCCATAGGTATATATACATAGATGACATAAAGGGGTAACCCTTGGGATAATATGTCTTTCAATCTTACTGATAGAGTCCAAAATAATTTATTCAAATTTAATTATCGATGAATCTTAAGTAATTATGACACAATTAATTAATGAAAAAATGTATTAGAAAACACATTATATTCCTATTAAATATATGCATTAATTAAATATGTTTCAGTGTTGTTCATTACGTTTTATATGTACGGTGCGCTTGTCAATACACTAATCAAGTTATTTGTAAGCCGTCAAGAGTACGGCTTCGCCTTTTAAATAATATTATGAAATGTTAAATTATTTATAATGAATAATAAAAAAGGATCTTTATAGTGTAATATATAGAGTATAAATTTCAAATATTTCATGAAATTTAGACTACTTTTCTTAACCTTCCACGCACCAAAATGTCTATATAGTAGATTTTTGTCATATATTTTTTTATATAAAACTTAAATTGAACCGAGTAGCTAAAGGTTAGCTCGAAACAACATATCAAAACGTCTAGAAAGTTCCGTATCCCCGGGGACATAATGGATGGCATCTGAAAGAGTACCCGGGACTTTATTTACCGACTTTATCACGGCTCCATTGAATTAAACCATTCAACGACCAACGAAATATTTTCTTTAGTAACCAGCGCTTCAATTACTTGGCTAAAGGATTCGGATTCTGTCCCCACATTCCTCTCATCACTATTAATTCGTGCTTCTTAGATGAGGTGGCATTCATCGAAATGTTTTTGAGAAATCTTTTATGAATATCGCTATTTTTAACTTGCCGTTTTGTCTATTGAAGAAAATATGAAAATACGTCAATATCGACCATTGTAAGAGACTTCAAGAGGTTTAGAAAAGTACACGTCAGTATCAAAAATACAAATTATCCATTAATATCAGTTTCATTACAAGTACGTTTGTATCAAATGTATAAGAGAATATTTAATATTAACGAGCTCAATATTAGAATATAATCAGTAGATATTAATACGGTATAAATATTGAGACAATGAGTTGACGCTAATTGTAATATTTGGTCGATTTAACCGATCAACCGAACATGAAATTGTGTTTAACGACAAATTAAACTCGACTCTAGTGTGCTGATGGAATATTGGTAAATGATATGTAAGGGATATAATCTTAATATAGAATTATAAACTTTTAGAATTATATTAATACTTGTATGTAAAATTTTATTTAAATACAAGCTGACCGGGCAAACGTTGTTTGGCCATATAAAAATAGGAGTTCTTGATAAAAAAGTAAATATTTTGGGTTTATGTATTTTTTAATGCTACCTTATAAAAAAATAAAAACAAAAATTTTCGGACAAAAAAAAAATTAAATGTGAACAACTCTTATGACTTAGGGGTATGAAAAATAGATGTTGGCCGACTCTCAGAGCTACTCTATATGCTCACAAAATGTCATCAAAATCGGTCCAGCCTTTTCGGAAGTGTTCTCTATCTAATAACGCGACGAGAATTTCATATATGTGTAGATAAATTTTATTATAGTTTAGTATGTACCAAATTGATATTGTGTTAAATAAATGAATGATATTAATTTAAACAATCAGCAAACAATGTTTGCGTAATGGTTGTTGCGAAATACGTTAATAATTTTTGTGTATTACAAAACCTGAACGTACTAAAATTATCATTAGTAATGATTTTATATTTAAACTTGTTTGTTTGTCGTTAGGTCAAAGTACATGAGAGATATTTGTACGGATAATTAAATATAGGCGCTGGAAAAATCTATATTTAGAGATTTTGTGTTTAAAATATATTATATATTATAATAGCCAATGTATTTCGGTTTGCCTGTCTGTATTTGAGGCTCCATATCTATTAGGAGGCAACTGTTAGCTCAAGTTATACCCAAATTTGCTTATCGCCCCTGACTCGACGTTATTCGTCTGAACTGATGCGGTTACTTCAGAGTAATCTACAGTCTAGCTAGACTTACATTTTGGCTGTGAAACTTTTTAATTAATACGCTCATTGAATTCGATTCCTAATCTAGAACTTTCCATTTGTCAGCCATTTAAATACTCGCTAACAATGACTGCTATTTCGCGCTATATTTCTTCGACAGTTGTCAATAATTTTTTGTTCAATTTTAGTCACGATTAGAAGCAAAAACTGACCTTGAATAACATGAACACGTTGTTGTAACACCCTGTATATATAATGTTATATATTAGTTGTTATGTTGACTCACTTCCGATTATTTTTTTATATACATATAACTAGTTAATTACGACACTTATATTTTTTTATTGTTGACTATTTTTTGCTAGTGACTCCGCTTGCATTCTGATGTAAGAATCGAAATGGATGACATTGTAATGTAATATTACTAAATGACAAATTGTATCAAAGAAGATATTAATTAATTTTATATTAACGCAGTTTCTTTTTGAGCGTTATTGGATCCGCGTTTAATGTTTAAATGTAACAGATAGATATACATATATCGTGTTTGTTTGATCATTTTAGCTTACAATACAATAATACATAAATACAGATTTAGTATATTTGAGGTTCATATATCGCGTTCATATTCAAATATTTAATTTTTGTCAGTCTTTTACGGTTAAGAGCCAAACTAGAAATATAAATGCGGTTAATAGTCTCATTTTTAAATATTTCGTAAGTCATAACATATTGTTAAATTTCATTCACCTGCCAATGACATTAATGATTGAGCTCTAAGAAACCGTTTTATCACACTTGTAATGGAAAATATCCAGTATATTTTATTTTAAATTAATTAATTGTTATCATTAATCGTAGTTTTTGAGTGACGTCACGTTTCGCTTTTAAATTAGCTAATTCTATGTGTTTATTGCTCTGACTAACAGCGGCCGCCTCCCACATGCCCGCAATAAGTCCTACTTGACATTCCAAAAACATACAAATACAATTAAAAATATATCCTCTGTCAACCGTTTAGAGTTCATTTCATTATTTTAGTTTCCGTCATATAAAAATACTGAATAGTTTTAATTAGTTTCGGTGTTTAGTTTTATTAAATTTGTTATTTTTTTTTTCATGATTTCAAAACGTATATTCTGGTCGGTGGAATATTTTCATGTAATCGTATCGATCCCTACAATATTCGAATGTTCCGAAACGTAACGAATGATGAAATGAAAATTCCGTCTTTATTTTCGTTATTGACGATATCGCGAAATTTTCCCCGCTTTCATATATGAGGCTCTGACGGCACTTCCTTTTGTAAGGGCGGGTGGAATACGCCAGAGAGGCCTTTGGATTTATCGGTGGAGGGTTCCGAGAGGTTTCTACTACTAATTGGAAATCGACAGAATACCAAGTGTATTGAATTATCAGTCGGAATGACGCCATCACTCCTGTACATCGGGGATGCCTTTCGTTCTAAGACATGTATGAATGTATATAGATATATATTATGTATGTTTCTTTAACAGGATCGGTCTACGTGCAGAGCGTCTAGTACGGATGAGTACGGATTGCCGGAGCGCCATAAAGTAGCACAGACCCTGAGAGCTCGTCGAGGTCGAGTCGTATCGTGAAGTGCCAGGCTCGGTGCGTGAGCCCCCGTGACTCGCCGCTACAGCCAGTGCTCGCCGGAGTCGCGCGACTCGGCCGGCACGCCCCGACACAGCCGTGGACAACCTCGGCCAGAGCCCCCACCCGGTGAAGAGGCTGCACGAGGCGCTGCAGAGCGCGCAGGTCAAGCGGCAGAGACTGTCGCCGCCCTACCCCGCCCCCGCCGGCGCGCTGCACCCCATCCACCAGCTGGCCGTGCACCAGCACATCAAGGTGCAGCAGAGCATCGTGCAGCAGAGCATCGTGCAGCAGCACCAGCTCAGCCTCGCGCACCAGTCGCTGCAGAGCCTGCAGCAGCTGTCGGAGCAGGAGCAGCCCACGGGGACCCTGCCGCCGCAGCAGCCCTCGCCGCGGGCCGCCTCCCCGCAGCACAAGAACATGGAGCTCGCGCTCTGCCAGAGCATGGACTCCGTCAACACGGCCACCGCCGAGGAGGAGGTCAGTCACATACATACACTTACACCCTACCATCACTCTTTACTTTGCCGAGCAATCTTTGAATATTTTTCTTGGAGATGTTCTTTAAACCAGTCTCGTGAACATTCGATCCTTTGAGCGATTTGTCATCGAACAATTGTAGTAATACCGGTGAGACGCCGCTCGATAGCTGTTACAATAGTGAGGGAGGAGGCTCCTACAATAACCATTTACTAATACAATAAAACGAACGTTTACCTATTGATTCATCTCAAAACGAAGGGCATACGTCACGGCCTTTGTCTTATACACCCCCAACTCTGAAACTATTTATTTGGCACATTATTAAACTGAGATCTAAGACTTACGCAAGTATTCATTTATGTATATTATAAAACCATCACCTAATTTTGTTATTAGTTTCAATTTATATTAATCATTACTATTTCGATAGCTTGGCATATATCCTATAAACAATATCCTAAAAACAAAATTCCTTTACTTCGATTTGTTAGAAGTAACTTAAGATAACAATCATACAATTCATATAATATTAGCTGTATTTTATTTTAAATCTCATTTCATCGGAGTTAAGTTAAAAAGAAAAATCTAAACCTCGGAGAAGCGATAAATCGTGGACGCAAAGAGTTCGCTGCGAAGTGGCCGCGTGGTGTTGCCGAGACAAATAGAGACGATGTCTTCCTTCAGCGTTCACTTGAAGCTTTATAAATTGATTGTTTTTATCCCGGGACAGGCGGGTATGAGCGGACAATTGATTTGTTTGTACTTCAAGTTGTTGAACGGATATACTTTGCATTTTACTACGACCAATACAATAAGTTTTTCGTATATATCTGAAAGTAATGTATTTGGTTAGGTAGAGAGAGGAGCTTGGACAGTGGTATGAGCGTTTAACACGCGTTAGATAGGGCCCCTTAAACCTACACCTGTGTCACAAGTCCCAGTCAATGTTGAAGCTCCTCTCACTACAACGATGGACCCGACACACGCACCGTGAATACATGGAATGATCAGAGGTTTCATCTCATACATTGTTACGTATGTATGACAAACTCAATGCCTTGATGATTTAAAATAATATAGTTATAACAAAACCATTACTAGCATCATGTTTGTTCTCGTCTTTGAAGGTGTCTGATGCTGAAGTTACGCTAACGGTGAACATCACTGAACTTATACAAGCTATACTCAGTTGAAACTGAAACTTTGACGCACTTAATGTCTTAAGCACAATATTCAATAGTTAATACATTAGGTTATTATCAGTTGGGACTGCTATGCTATGCTGAGCTACAGTTTTCTTAAGAAAATACTTTATAAATTGTAAGATCAAAGAATCTTTTTACTCGTCTTTTTCATGTGCTAATTATAACGGGCAGCACAAAATGATTGATTATATTTATAAAATACACTCAGTAACTATCGTACTTTTGTAATAAAGATATAATGTTTATCTTTATTAAAAAGGAATAGATTTGTAAAGATAACTGTAAGATAAAGATGACAAATAGAGGGTTCTATTGGGGTGTGTGGCAGACGGCGTCGTTATGTCTGGCGCCGAATTTACTCCAGTTATGAATGCTTCTACTACTTTGTTTGAATGTCATTAAGAAACGAACATCTAATATAGATTCATACTAACTTATTGTCAACAAACTAAAGGATTTTGAACTTTAAAATCATAGAGACTAATAGTAAGATCAGTTTTATATCGTATATGCCAGATTTGTCCGTAACTCTCACCCACTATCAAAATAACAAGAATTAATATTGATGAGACAGCGAGGAAGGGGAAGCATTGGGGCGATAAACGTTAATTAATTATTAAAAATAGACGACCCCTGGCCCCCGCCTTTGGTAGTGAAGTGATAATTTTGCAAGTAATATATATATATCCCCTTTTAATAATAAACCAGTCGAAAAGCTACAGTTGACAGATAACAGAATTTCAGTTTTCTAACGAGTCGTATTACTTCACACTTTACGTCGACTGAGTAAAATAAAATTGAACATCTCGGAAACGTTTTGAATATTATGTTATTGCTGAATGCTATTGACAATTGAGACGTCAGACGATTACCTCCAGACCGGATCGATCGAGCGACTGGTCGGTCGATTAGTTGGTCGATCAGTCGGGCGATCAGTCGCGCGACCCGGCTGACGGGCCGCAGACAGTACCTGTAAGGTTTCCTGAAACCTATAACTACTTTTGTTTTAGTTTGTTCACCGTTTGCGATACTTTTTGCGATCGCTTCACTTATTTCACTCTTTGTTCTCTTATTTTGTGGAGTTTGTTTTCGAACGGTTTCATAAACAATATTTGTAGAGCTACTTTAGTAATTTTATGAATGTTATTATAATCTTTTATTGTTTTCGAGTTCAATATATTATTCAAGTGCGGTATTAAGGAGTTTCATCTCATCTTCTTACGTCGGATGTATGGAAGTCGTTTGTTATTAAATATTATAATTTGGGTCTGAATCCCGAGTATTTAGATTGAGGATTATATTTTTGATTTTAATCCGAGTTCATTTTGCGGGGAATATTTATATTCGGAATCCATTTTGATTTAAATATGATGCAGTTAAGAAACATTTCGTGTCTTATATTTAAAAAAACATCGTAATATTATATACAATTTTATATATAGTTTGTTGGTACATAATGTAATAATGTGTTTGCAGTCGAATAAACTAAAACTTTGCGAGAAAAGTTAAAAGTAAAAGTTTTCACAAAGAACCCCTAAAGTTGCGATGTCATGTTGAAAGTAAGGAGTTCGGCCGATGGTGGCTTTGTGACACAAAGTAGGGACGGTCTAGACAAAGATGAATTATATGAAAAGGGGGAAAAGATTGTGTAAATATAACATACATATACACTACTAGTGAATATTGATAATCGTAGGCAGAAGTTTTACTAAAAAACATGAAGAATTTATAGTATGTATTTAGTATAAAATTTACTAGTTATTTTTTTATCGTTCTTTGTTTATATTTTTATTAATAATTGCTGAACAATGACGTCACTCCAAATGTGATATTTCCATTGAAATGAAAGTGGCGACACTCGTCCCAGTCCAAGTTGAATGAGACATGCTCCAAAGAATTTAAGAGAAGAATTCTCTCCAAGTTGAATAGAGACACCTCAACCGTTTCAACAGTTTGTCCACCTAATTTGTTCGACGGGGGCCGACTGTGAAAACAAATAGCTCCTCCCAGCGCCCCCTTCCCGATAAAGACAAATATATTCCGATAAAAAGTGGAAAAAGTATACGTAGTTCGGCTCCACGTTCGGAATGATAGCGGTCGGCCTTTTGTCTTCCAATCTTGTACGTCTGCTGTCTGTGTCTGTGAGATGCTTTTGTGATCTAATGTTCTTGGCTCACGTTACATGGGGATGAAGTTTTAATTGAATTTGCTTGTCGATTTTGGCTTTTTGACGTAGCTGTGCGGTATCCTAACAATTTTTGGGTAACGCTCCCCCGTTCCGGGTAACGTATTTACCTGTCGGAACTTTATTACACGTTTATGTTACTTTGAAATTTTGAACATGTACACGGAGCGAGCGTGAAAGTGAAATGCCTGTTCGGGAACAAGTTTGCTTATTAAGAGCGAACAATTTTTATAAACATCGTCGGTCATCCCGATGTTAGCTACGTAACGTTGTTGGCATTGATATTATAATTAATAAATGTCGCGCGGTCTCGTAATAGGGACCTGAATGTCTTCAAGCAGGTCTTATTACTGGAGTCTTCGTTAAGCATTTCCATTCGTAGATTCGTCATTAAAATTATTCATGTTGATGGAGCCGTGACTCGGTGCCATTGCTGTGGATCCTCGTGCTCTGTGGAAAAGACTTTTGAATTACTACAAAATACAACTAGTTAGTTGTGGAAATATTTGTTTAGTTGTATTTTTGTATTGAATGTTTATCATCAGATCATTACATGTTATTTTGTTTAAATTTAGTTAATATATAAAAATCACACACGGACGTTATAGCAAAATTTTTCGCTTAATAAAGTTCCCGTAAAAGAAAAACTTTGTTAGCCATCAATCTACAATGGCTCGGCTTGTAATTAGTTCACTCGGACAAAAGATGACTTGACTTATCTATAATTAAAGGAGAGACTTTTACAAACGAAACGATTCAATAGGAACCGACTGGCTAATTGCATCTATCAGCTTTAAATTAAAATCCACAATCTGTTACAGATTTCTTCTATTTAAATTTAACATTTATAATTTAAATACATATTATACCTAACTTTGTAATGATCTCTTCACACACAATGATGTTTAGCTTATATAATAGACAGCTTCAAGTAAACAAAATATGAAAGGAATATTCATTTAATATATAAATAAAATATGAATAGAAAGAGTGAGGGATGTTATGAAAAGAATTAAGTCGCAGCAAGATTAAAAGATAAAGGCGGATAAAACACGAAATATAAGTATTAATGCGGCGAGCGACGAGTGGGTTAGCTCGGCAATTAACTGTGGTGCATAGAACCGAGGAAGTAGATACAGGATAAACTGTGAACGAAGCTCAGCCAATAACTGTTGCTTGGTATCGCTATGCTCTGAGCTGGCTTACACTCGGCCCGTGTAAACAAATAGACATTTCATCCCTTTGTTGTTAAACCCTACTTTAAAAAGACGTTCATCTTATTTGAATTTTCACTAATGAGCCTCAATGCTTATCTCAGCCTAACAATCAAGATGAATTTATTATATAAATTATAAGATATCATAACCCAAGCTGCTGTGAAAACGGTTTACGTGCTGTTTAAACTCGAACAGCATGTTAAATGGTTTATAATTATAACAACAATAAAATTTACTGCGTTTAATGTGCATTGGGTCTAGTGGGATTGTAGTGTAGTAATTAAGAGTGGTGGTTGTTGTATGTATTTATCGCGCATTGTGCAAGCGTCTTGGCCGACGGCCAGCGGACTTGCAGCGGGCATTACAACCATGTAATAAGCTGGTGGAATTATGACAAGTTCTGATAAAAATATGTACCTCCGAAATGGATATAATCTGTCCGGTTAGGAACGAAATGAACAATAACGAAGCCGGGCATAATAAAGAGTGCAAGACGAAAAATGTGAGCCGCATTGTTAGAGGAATGGAAGTAAAATGTCGCGAAACGAAAGGCGCTCTGTGCGCAATCAATGCCCCTCGATTGATGATAAGTTTCTTTGCAGTCTACAAGTTTGATAGAGACTGCTCAGGAGGAACCGTTCCGACGAGAACTCTCCGGTACAGAGAGCTCGTGTTTAGCGTTGCGTTTTATCGTCCCCTTTCATAACATTATTAGCCCTATTGTTATGGGACCGAAGTTTCAAAATATAATTCATTATTAAAATGTTAGTCACGTCGTAAATTTTCTCGTAGCTGTATTTCTGAGAAAGTTCAAATTTCAATTAATAAAATATAACTTCTGTTAGACAGCGCTCCCCGAAACAATGTAAACTTAGTCTTATACAAATGGAACAGTATAAATATTTGGCTTCAATTTGTCAGTGAGAAATTTTAGACTTTAAAAATATTTCTGAGGTAATGGAATAATAACGTTGTTGTTTTTGTATTATTTTTGGTTAAACGTATTGAATTTACTACGAGATTTAACCGCTAAGTCGCGATCCTCATTTCGAAAGTTCCTCTCGACGTTTAAGACAGCTGCGTCATTAACAGCGTTTGCATTTGATCCCCAGTTAAATATCCTCGTTATATTTAAATCGTTTACTATAAAAAACATAACGAAAACTAAACTGGCGTAACAAAGTAATATAAGGAAATAATGTTACAGTGTACAGTCCGTGCAATACTTCTGTGAGACCATAAGCCCACCGGTCGAGATAATAATTCACAATCTGAACATTCGCAGTAGAAATTAAGACGCGGCCCCTGCGGGCACGTAGATCGTCTACTTGTTTGAAATACGGAGGAGCTCATCGGTATAGCTCGTTAAGCGGCGAAGCGTGCTTTTATTACAAGGCTCGCGCAAGGCGACACTTGAATATTAATTCGCCAGCACTGGGCCACGCTACCTCGCCACCATCCGCCACGCATCTCATGTGATCGTAATCGAGTCTCCACGCACGATTCCGTTTCTGCCACGTTCCTTTCCGAGCTCAATTTGTCGTGATGAATACGTTCTGAGTGGTGCAACCCGTGAGGCGTGACCTGTTCACACAAATTTTCCGTGTAATATTAGGACACAACACGTTGACCGATACGGTGACACCGTTCACTAAAAATGACTTGTTTTATATATATTCGGAAGGTTGTACGTTTATTGTTTAACAATATTTCAAGGATAACGTCGATAATAAAAATGTATTAGACGTAACAAATCGAAAAACAATAAGTGTAGTGAATCAAACTGTGTTAACACGTACGAACAAGATCTCTACAGTCTACACTCAGTAAATCCATTAGCCGAGGTTCAATAAAAATGACTGTCTATCGAAACTGAGATAAAATGTAGCTAAAATTTACGGACAAGGAATCTCTATACTTTGAGAATAAAGTATATTTCTTATAATTATTATTAGAGCAGGTGTATTCCTGTATATGTGAGTAGTCAGATATTACGGTTACTGCGGTCAATTCGGTCGGCGTTATGAGCTCGGCATATAAGTTACTTGCATTAGTTATTAATGATGTTTCTATATGCAAAAGATATGCTGATTACTGTGTAGCTTGTTAAGTACTAAATGGATTTCCATTGTTCCCTTTTAGTATTACCAGAACTCTGTTCTAGTAATCTAATTATTCATTTACATGATTTATTTCAGACTCAAATCTATGTTTCCTTCTATTTATCTCATAATTTCTTTTGATATTCTTTTCGTATATGGATGTTAATTTAAAGTAAAACATCTTCTGTCTATTTTAAAAGAATATTATGTGTTGTTAGCTACAATAGTATTGTGTTTGTAACTTAACATTGAAAGTATATAATCGTAATTATAATTGATACCTATAAATGAGTCTCGCAAGGGACTTTAATATATTCTATTGTGTTACATATTTGGGTTGGTTTGTCGAAATCCTTCGTGTTAATTGAGAATCACGTATTTGTTACAAAGCAATCCGGACCAATACTTTATGTGTTCAACATATTTAATATTCAACGTATTCCTTATTTATTAACTTAATATATATAATTCATTTTAAGAAATTTTATAGGTATTAAAATTCTTTACAATAAATTTCCCGCCATAATCAGATGTGTTTAATATCTATTCTATATCTGGCTGCCGCTTCTAAATATTCAAAAGCTAATTTCCTTCAATAAAAACGTTAGAATGAACATTAAAACAATACATTAGCGAGGGAATAAAACAATGAAGATAGTCTTAATGGATCCTCTAATCCTATATAAGTCTCTGGTTCGTACAGACGATGAAAGAATACAAAACTGTATACACAATTAATCCCTAGACGCGATGTCGCTGTATGTGGACGACTGATGCCACACAAGGTGATATGAATCATTATGAATATAAAATATTATATATACATATATATAAAAATGAACTGTTCGTTAGTCTCACTAAAACTCGAGAACGGCTGAACGGATTTACCTTATCTTAGTCTTGAAATGTTCGTGGAGGTTCAGGGAAGGTTTAAAACCTGAAAATATTGAATCATTTCCGGGAAAACCTTAAAACAGCCCTTTTCTATTTCCCATACAAACGTTTTTTTGACATTAGATTTGACAACTAACTAATATGTCAATCATTCTGTTCGATTGAAACAGGAAAAATTTATTAAATACCAATACCTGGTTATTTAAGACGGAATACGGTTCGACGGGTCAGCTATACATATATTACTAATGACGAAATTAACGCGGACCAAGTCGCGGGCAAAAACTAGTATATATATTCTTTTATATGTAAAGCAATCTATATTTGTGGCTACAACGTATTTTCGACTATATAATGACATATTATATAGTTGGTTTTTCAATAACCGCAATGGCTGTAACTGTTGGATTATACGATTCAATTTGTTTTATAAAAATTATTATAAAATATGTGAATTATAATTGTTATAAAATTATTATATTTAATTCATATATCTGGGTTACTATCAAATCGTAATATTGAAATGTATGGAACAAATTAAAGTCTAAATAGTAGGAACTTATACTTAACTGATAAAGATAAGGTTACTTTCTCCAAGTTATCTTGTGGATTACAAGGATCTTACCAAATGTGTGTGGTCAATCACCTTTGCATAAAAAATAGTAGCAAAATAATATGTATGTTTGAATGTGCTTTCAAAGAACGTAAGGGGTAATAGTGTAGTTACTCATCAAAGAATATACAGAGTTGAATATTAAAATTGCATCAGAAATTTATAACACACTAATAAATAATTCTTCTTTAAAATGTACTGCTAATAGTACCGTTATTGAAATTCAAGTTGAGCTTACAAAGAGCATATTTAAAGGAGCATTTTAACTTATTTTATATGCAAAATTTTATCTATATTAAGTCTGCTCTATAGCCGTAACGAATTAATTACACACACAGACACACACGTATGTATATATATGTGTGTGTTTGTGTGTGTGTAATAGTCAAAATATTTTTCTTGCATGTTATTGTAACCGTACATTCTAGATCCGCCAGTTGTTAATTACTCGTGCTATTTTTAATCGTCATAGGAAACGTCAATTAAATGTAATTGGCGTTGGTGATATAAAATAAAGTGCCCCCGATCAATTAATTACGACGGCTGAACCACGCGTCCAAAACTACATAACACACCCTACGGCCTACACTGCGTACGTACTAACAAATCAAGGCTCACTGTGAATACTGTTAGTAAAATTAACTAATTTCTTCTTCTACCTGGCAATTTCCCAGCTATAGCCAGGGTCTGCCTTACATGTTGTGAATAGTTTTGGCTAGTGTTTTACGACCGGCCGCCTGCCTAACATCAACTCTCTTTTGGGAATCAACATTAATCAGTGATGTCTAAATATTCTCAGAAAGTACATACATATGATTCGGAAAAATCACATTGGTTGCCCGGGCCAGGATCGAACCCGCGCCCTCGTGCACGAGATGCGGGCCCTCTAACCATTAGGCCACCACTGACTTAACTAATATATATATCGAATTTATTATAAATTCGTTGGTTTTAAAGATAGTGACGCCATCATCGCCGACGTCTCTAATGTCACTTCTTTCAGTACGTTCCATGATATTTTTAAATGAAACTTCAGTTGTTCTAAGTTTCCTTGTATTTCTCGAAGGTTCTTCATAATGATAATATTCAATGGTCCGCACTAACTGAACTCTCCACTCCGCCGTCGTGCTTCTAGACGTCATATTTATATCAACATTCAAACAGTTCTATTCTCCTTTTAAACAATCTTCGATTTCGTTTTGCTTTTAACAATAATCATGAATACTAATTATATTTGATGACAGTCGTATCTGTTATAAAAGCTGATAGCGCCGATATATACATTTAATTCAAAAAAGTAACATAACAATGTAGTTTATATGATCTTTTTTATTTAAACTCAGTCAAGAAACGAAGTTATATTCATTTAGTGAGTTACCGTCAAAGGCACTTCTAATCAGCTTGTACGACAGCTCAAAGAGCTTGATCCAATCTACAGCGTGAGACTTAACGATCATATAATACAGTGATGCTGTATGTTTATCATATTATTATACCTATTTGTATGATACGTATGAACCCACTGAGTTGTGGACTGTACTGTACGGATGTCTTTCTAGAGTTGGCGTTGTACCAATACTGTGTTGAAGCCGAATGTTCGTTTAGTTTTATTTTATGCTCTCACCAGGATCCTCATGGTATATTACGAATGAAGAATAGAATATAATGCATCACCCACAATTAGCACTTCGTAACTAAAATGCTGTAATATAATTATTTTATTGAGAAATAATAATTAAACTGCCTAAATAACTCTTTTAAATGAAACTAATATTTTTCGGATATACTACGTGATTTTATTTTGATAACAAAATCGTGATCACGGTTGCTGAAAACTAAACGAAAAGTCGGGAGTGTGTAGTTTATAACAAAAATAAAGCACGCGTAGTGTATGAAAAATATTAGTTTCATTTAAATGAATAATACTCGCAAAAGTCTTAGATCTCATTCATTAACTCTTGTTAATTAATTAGTTTGAAAATTCTTTATATCTCTAATACAAATCAAAATAGTTTTCATATTAAATAGATATCAATAAATACTTCAATATGTTAAACAAAATGTATGAAATCGTTTTGTATAAAAACATTTATCAAGGTATTTCGTTCGGATATAAAATCGGATTGGATGAGGTAAAATAATAACCGATTTAAATATATCGGCAGAGTCCCAACGGTGTACTGCTTATTATGGAAATTGAGAGCCGCGTGTGTTTTGTTACTGAGTTTGTACACGACACAACATACCTACATATGTATTTGTATATAGTATAGTATAGTTTGGCAATTTTGTAAAAATATTGTTTATAAATTCGTAAAGCGGCTTCACAGACAGATTTATTACTCGGTCTCGGGAAAGTTTTCTAAATCTCCGATATAAATAACTTGATGTCGTTTAGTATCAGAGTGATTTGAGTATTTTTTCTGTTATATCATAATACTAGCTTTCCGCCCGCAGCTTAGCCCGCGTCGAGTTCGGTTATATCGCGTTTCCAAGGGAACCTTTCAACAGTCTGAGATAAAAACTATCCTATGTTCTTTCTCAAGGTCAACTCTATATCTGTACCAAATTTCATTAAAATCAGTTTAGTGGTTTAGGCGTGAAAGCGTAACAGACAGACACACAGAGTTACTTTCGCATTTATAATATTAGTAGGGATTTCAGTTATAGCTCGTTCCATTGCATTCGGTTCATCTGCGACTCGGTTTTAACGTAATGACATCGCATGCTCAGACACTCAGACAGATTTACGAGCGATCTACTCATATATTGAAACATAAAATACATATTTTGCCTCCATCATATTATTTTCAGTGATGTATTTCATAATGAAATTGTTTTACTTGAAATTATAAATTTAGGCTCTCGTAACGAATTTCATTTTGTATACATTATACTTAACTTTTTATGTATTAGGCGTGTTTTATTAAAAGTTTGTACGTTCACTAACTTTCTTATATATTTAGTCTCACTAT